TTGGACAGACATACTTTGCTCAAAACTGCTGACACATCTTTCAATCATGTGACATATGACGTCACCATTCATGAAATCTTCATGATGTTTAAAATGGCAGTAGCCACATGCAGGCTTTGACTGCCTATTTTTTAAATTAGGTGTATACATATATGCTAGCTGTGTCTCGAAACACAATATGTTATTGTTGTAGCTTGCACTAAGATCAAGTAAGATCATAATTTACCTTTTCATCATTACTAAGATCAAGTATCTCAAATAAAGCCTGAAGTTCGAAAAAGGAAAAACTGAACCACAAACCGCGAAACGTAATGCAAAGTTTAAGAAAAGCCACTTGAGAAAATCATAATTAACTACACACTCCATCTAAAAATAGATAAGACCTATCCAGCTATCTGGAGGGGTTCGGGGAGATCGGGGAGTTCCCACATCCTATGACATCACCCTTTGGGCTGTTCTAAAAATAGATTTGATCTCTCCGGAGGGGGAGGGGGGGGGAGGGTCTGGAAGATCGCTCCGGAGATGCTATCGTTATCGGAATGGCTTCTGATTGGTTCTTAAATTTTATGAAGTCACGCTTTAGGCCCTGACGTTACTACTCCTAGTGCGATGACGTCATCTCTTGGGCTGATCCGCCCGTTGCAGAACCCCTATTCTGTATACTAYTGCACTGCAGTCAGTTTGCGCGTAGAAAAATGACATTTTATAAAATGTTGGTACTAATACCTTCATTACAAAATGCTTCCACGCACTTGCATACATGAAAACATGCGCAATAGGTAAATTACGAGCGTGGTATGAAACGACTGAAGATGAGTGCCAATGGGCCATTCACAACTTCAAGTCGCGTAAAAAATCAGCCAGATCAACTAGAAACCGTGGACAGCTGTTTCGRCCTGTCTTACGCATGTTCTCATATGATTTCCGAGCCCATCCCACACGGCTTACCGCCTCATCTCTCRTTACAWACATGAAGTGGGGATRCGTTGAGCCTCAATGGGGATTGTCTTTGTAGGCGATCCAGTAGTGTTGGATACAGTCTTTATCAAGAGGACATGCCTAGGCCGGAAATCATGCCAACTTTAGCTGAAATGTCAGACTCTGAAAAATCTGATACAGAAGAGGGTCCACYGGAGGATGCTACAACCACAATGAAGGATACACCAGATAAAGAGGATCCTTTTGCAGCACTAGGCAGCAAACTGGCAAAACTGAGGTATTTTTGATTTACTTAGAGCCTATAGTCACTGGTTACAGAACGAGAGACATATTCTTGGGGTCTGTAGAGTTTAGCCATGAGTGTTGCGAAATCTCGGAGGCCCTATGTAAAGGCATAAAAAGTTGGAAATGAGAAACCTGCTTGCAAACTATCCAAGGGAGCACGGCAGAATGTCGTTTTTGTATTATTTAAGTATTTTGTGCACTGTCATGCTTGAAAAGAGTGAACAAAGACCTATAACAATAGGTTCCATAACCATTCCTCTCTATTAACTATGAGGAGAGTAATGTATTTTATATAATGGTTTATTGAACAGGTACTTCCAGCTAATGGAGGAGGCACTTCAAGAAAATACAGCTGAGAGACAACAATTGATGAAGTTAGCAGGTTTGCATTGACCTCGCTTTTTAAACACCAAAGTATCCCTGCTTTTATCCAGTGGATTAATAATGTTAATGAAAGTTTGTTTGTTGTTCCTCCTACCTACAGTTGAAGCCCTTGTGAAACTACAAGATTCCCAACTTTAAGAGGTTCAACTGGTAATATTTAACTACTTTTCTCTGCAAGGTTTCCTCTTTTTCTTTTGTTGTAGAAATTTTGTGGAAGGAAAAGTGGAAACTCTTACGACAAATGGATATCCAGTTTACATATTGTGTATTGATCCTTTGCATCCATAATGCAACAWGCAACTTACAGTATTTATAAGCCCCGTTTACACTTGCGATTTTTTGCTGCAATTTTTGTGGCAATTTTTGGAAATATGAAATCTTTTGTCTCATCCTTCAAAAGACACATTCGTCTAGGAAAATCTTGGTATCCTGAAAAAACTTTACAAGTAAATTCTTTACCATTATTTATCATGGACAAAATTGTAAAAACAATTGCAGCAAAAATTGCCGCTTAAATCGCTAGTGTAAACAGGGCTTTACACATTTATATAACCAAAAAATTGGCCATGACATTCAAGAAAAAATAAATTAAAAAAAGATACAAAAACAGCCGTTTTTTGAAAAGATTTAATTTAAATTCCAATAAGAATAAATCTGATGGTTTACAAGTAATAAATGTAGATTTTGGACTTCCAGTTTAGTGGCTTTTCTTTCCCTTGGAGACAGGCTGAGTTGGCTTGATCATAACAGGTGTATGGGTTGCTGCAGAAATCCTATTCAAGTAGTATAACAATCCAATGGAAAAAAGAAAGCTAAAAAGGACCAAAAGAAAGTGGTTCATGTGAGCATTTCATCCTTTAGTAAAGGGTAAAGCTTCTAAATGCATAAAAAAATAAGAACTTTTAGGCTTCATGTTCTATCTCTGAAGCTAAAGGAATTTAATGGCAGCTGTTTTGAGGGGGAAAACAATGCAGCCTCTTTGCATGATAYGAAATTTTATTTCCCAAAGAAGAAAATTTCAATACTTTTGCCCCACAAGACTACTTCTGTGAAACCCCTATAAAGTATCCATCATTATTTTACTGTACAAACAGACCTCATGTATCACTGTTTTCATTGCTACATTCTGATAGAAACAACAGTAGTGACAGGGAAATTGGGCAATAGACTACCCACCAATCAAATAAATTGTTCGGTACCTTTACATACTCTGATGGACAACAATGTATTACCCGATTTCCATGTTGTGACTATTGTCTCTATCAGCACAAAGCAATGAAGAGTGTATAAAGTTTATAAAAGCCAATATTTCTTTGTTCTGTTTTGCCTATAAATTTTCCCCAATACACCCAATATATATTCCATGTTTTAGGTTTTCAAATGTGATGTTGATATCATTTTACAATCGTACCAGTCTCAGCTTGAATCTATTATCAAGGCTTAAAATAATGGCCAGCAGTCAGTCACCAGTCGAGATGACTGGCTACATTTTTAGTCTTAGTTTGCTCATACAGTACCTGGTTTCTGGTTAGACCTTACCAGACAAGTTCCAATATTCTGGCCAGACACTGTCTGATGAAAGGTGGTTATTTTAAGCCCTGATTATGATGTTAGGATCCTAATTATTGAGAATACATGTATACATGGACTGGTACTCCCAGGAACTCCAACAAGCTTTTATTATTAATATTTCAAACTAATAAACTCACCATGTCGTTACACAGACCCTATGAACAAGACCTGAAGCAAACATAGCCACTCCAAGACAGGCCAGAACTGTAAAATTAATRTCAATGGTTTTATCATTATTTACAACCCTTCACACAAAGGATTGTTCATGTTGTATTGGGGGGAGGGGGTATACATTGTATACTCTAGCTATTTAACCATGGTCAACAACCAATCAGAATGCAAAATTCAGCTGGCAATTTATTGAAATCAATAAGTTATTTTCCATCATAATGTTTTTTTCTTACCTTCTGGGAAAAGTTTAGTTTGAAAGTTTTTACCAAAGAAGCAAGTTTCAAGATTTCCCACAGCCTTTTTGAAAGTTAAGGAAATTTTGCACACACACAAAAAAGAATGAGCTACTATACTGCAACTCTTATCTTACTTGTAACTCTGTCACTACACCATATTTCTCTTCTAAGTTTCAATTTATTTTAAAGTTGAAAGAAGAGAAAGATTAGGTAACAAAAAGGCAAAAAATATCAATATTTATACTAAGAGCCCTTTGTCTGACTGTGAAGATAATTCATAAATATAATAATAATAATAATGGCAATATATTTCAGCGCTGTAAACTACCTCCAAATAAACATGGATTATGAGTTTCTGTCAGACAGCGACTTAAAAGGATACAGTAAGAAGAAAAACAAAAAGTTGTGAGCCAGCAAATCCTCCCAAAATGGTCATCCATTCGCTCGAAGCCAAGTTGTTCTTGAACATTTGCATCGCCGCAAAGATAACAACYGTGAGGGTAGAGGCAAAGAGAAACGACGCAGCGGTAGGAATAGCTGTTGATGATAATATTTGTTAATATCAGAGAGATCGCGGTGTTATATCTTCATAAAAAGGGGAATAAATTGAAGGTAATTCTTACCCATGTTGTTACTAAAGGAAAGAAAAGCCAAGAAAGGCCACCTCAGCTCTCGACCCATTCTTCTAACGGCCATTCTTCTCTTCTGAYGTCCCGTATGTATCAAAATGGCGGCCGCGTTTGAAAGATGTCTGCAGGAGTTCAAAGCTTTATAACGTTAATGCGAACAAATGAATAACTATGACGAAGGTGAGATGCATTTTAAACCCAGGAGGGTTATTAACCAAAACATTGTATGGAAACTGAAGCAAAGAGAAACTCATATTCCAAGGCCCGGCTGCCACTGGCACCGGGGACGCGGGTTCACACAAAATTTATTTCCGAATTTTACCATCGTAAACGTGGAGAAACCTCCTTGCTTTTTGAGAAAATTTTCTCCCGATGGACGATACTTTGTAGCTTTTTCATTAGATCAGAGTTCCATTGAAGTTTACGAGTTTCAAGGACCTAGCGCCGCAGAGGAATTGCTTCATGGTCTTGCCAGAGAAGACAGCGATCCTGCCGCTGCTAGAAGACAGCTTTTTGGGAAATTCTTCAAACAGACTGCTGTAGTGACAGTAGCTTCGAATGGCGAACACTTGAATAGAGAATGCAGTTTATTCACAGATGACGGGCGTTACGTCATAGTGGGATCTGCGTCGTATGTCCCAGAGGACCCTCATCCTTATTTCTTTGACATTTACCGCAACAATGAATCAGTGTCACCGAATCCGAGATCCCCATTAGAAGATTACACGATCCATATTGTAGATCTTTGTAATGGTTGTTTGAGTGATTCAAGATCGTTTAAGTGTGATAAAATCTTTCTTAGTCACAATCAGGGTCTATATTTGTACCGAGACTTACTGGCCATATTGTCAGTGCAACAGCAAACTATTCACATTTTCCAGGTTACTAGAGACGGGAAATTCATAGAGGTCAGATCAATTGGTAGATTTTGCCAGGAAGATGATGAACTTATTTTGGCAGCCTCATTGAGTACTGAGACAGAAAATGGCCATCCTCCAAGGCCGTATAGAGAAACATGCATTAATGGTTTAAAGCACAGACTTATGGCACATTTGTATTGGTGCGCCAAAAGGGAGGGCTCGCCTGAATCAATGCGCAGGTTTTTCCAGCACTTTGAGCAGTTTCGCTTGTTGCGCATGTGGAAAATGCAGTTACTAGATGAAACAACTGTACTTATAAAGTATGCAAGTGAGGATGTTGTCACTTTGAGAGTTGCAGACCCCAATTCTCAACCATCATTCTTTGTACTCTACAATATGGAATCAACACAAGTGCTAGCCATCTTTGAAAACACCTCTGAAAAGCTCTTGGAGTTATTTGAACAGTTTTGTGATTCTTTTCGTAATGCAATACTACATTCTCCTGCTCAATTTACATGTTCTGCATCAAGTAACATATATGCACGTCAGATTCAGCGACGATTTAAACACACTATTATCAATGCAAAATATGGTGGGCACACTGAAGCAGTCAAACGCCTTCTAGCTCAGCTGCCAATCAGTTCTCAGTCATACAGCAGTAGCCCATACTTGGATCTATCCCTCTTTAGCTATGATGATAAGTGGGTTTCGGTCATGGAAAGGCCAAAGGCTTGTGGAGACCATCCCATTAGGTAAGGCAATCATTTTTTATATCCTTACACTTCTACGACATTGACAAAGATATGTTATAGGGGGAGAAGGGGAGGGTGAGCTGGTTGGGTTTCACATTTTAAAATAACAAATTTTTGGTAGACCCCCTCCCCTCCCTACCCTATCCCTACTTTGCAACTAATACCAGTAGCCTTCAAAATAGTAGTTCTTTCCTTCATTCCTTCCTTCCGTCTTTCCTTCTTTCCTTCCTTCATTTTAACATTATCTTAATGTCTTAGTGTATCTCAATATTGTTTTCTTCTAGGTTTTATTCAAGGGATTCTGGTCTTCTAAAGTTCAAGATTCATGCTGGTTTCTTAGGCAGGCCCACCCCACCCACTGCACGCCGACTTGTGGCATTTACTTTTCACCCACATGACCCTTTTGCAATATCCGTCCAGAGAACCAATGCAGAGTATGTTGTGAATTTTCATATAAGGCACTTAACATCAGGCCCAGAGCACATGTAAAGCTAAAACATATAGGTCCTGTCTTTCACAGGTATAGTAAATGTAGTTGAATCTTAGGATTACAGACATGCTTTTGTCTTTGTTGCAACCAACATGTCATCCATTTTCTCATGGATGAAAATTTCATCCAAACAGTTGGCCACAAGCAGTATTTAGGAAAACATTGGTAGTAAAATGTAGTAAAAAATGCAAAATACAAAATTTTTTTGTAATTGGTTTCCCATAGATTTTATTTCTTAATGCACAAGTAAAGCCTTATATAAAGACTAGGAATGTTCCTTATATTAAAAAAAAAACACACCATATTTTCAAACCATCACTCCCTTTATGTGGTTCTACCATGAAGTCTACTCCACATGCACAACCACTACATTACATATTCACAATATACAACACTTAACTCACACATGATCCAATTTGAGGCATGGCTCAAACCTGAACCACAGTGGTGAGAGGCACCACCCATACCACCCATATATTAAGCCTGTACTCTCACATTTTAGTAATTAGGAATCACTATAGAAATGTTACATGATAATATGAATGCCTCATGCATGTGTCAGAACGTATATAATCCCCTTGAAAATTTTCTTGAAATAGACTTTTTCAACGATACAGCGGCCATCTTGAATCGCAAGGCATTATGGGACATTCAAGGAGCAAAACGTTAAAGACATTTGTGTTTTTCTTTCTTTCAAGGGTAAAGGTAATCGATATGCCATCTTTTGCTGTAATATTAACAGGTGATATAAAAACAAAATGTCATCAAGATTTACCATATTAATGACTCGCGATCCAAGATGGCCGCTATATCGTTGAAGTAGTCCATGAAGAACAAACTTCCAACAAACGTCCGGTTGCAAACTTTTTTTTGTACTGTTAAAATTTCCCTTTATTCATTTGTTGTACTTATTCCTTCAATCAACAGCGTGGTTTTTCTGGATATGCAGGGTGGTTCCGACTCCAAGCCCCTAGTTACCGTTGCTATGTCCCACAAGATCAACAAATTGCCTAGTATCTAAGAATATTCGATACCCAACTCACGGAAAATTAATTATAAATTGTTTCAAATGTTTGCGTACTTTCATAGTTGTTTGTGGGAGAAAAGTTTAGTTACACTTGGAAAGCTGCTGCAGCGGTGATTGATTCGCATGAATTCAGCCCCTGTATGAACGCATGCGTTCAAAATGCACGAACAATTACCATTCTTTTTGACTTGTTTTGATTAACACCGATTGTGCATTTCGATATATCCCCAAAGGACTGATAAATTAAAATTTCGTCAAATTGCGGGAGGCCTATACAAAAGCCGCATACCAAAACGGGACATTTAACGCACATGAATATAATCATGTCTTTGAGATCAGTCATAGCCATTGTACTTTTATAATGCAAGGTTGGACCACGGTTTTTGAAGCTCACACGTGATCACACTGGAATTCCGTGAAATTACGAAATACGTTTCTACCATGGACTATAAATTCAAGGCAACACTATATTGGAGATATCCAATTCTAGGCATTGTACGCTCAGCTCTAGATATTTCACTCGAGAAACTGATCAATACCTCGTTCCTTAAAGTTGAAAGATGGCAGTTATGGCGCAAATGTCTGCGAATGTTGCCAGTATCAAAGCTTCAAAGCCAGCCCACCCTAAATACAGCTCTATGGTAGAAGAAGCACTTAAAGTTTTGAACGAGAGAAGTGGCTCTTCTAGGCAAGCTGTGGTAAAATATATTGTGGCTAACTTTCCTGTTGGAGACTTGGCTGAAAGCCATGTGAAACTTGCTCTGAGAAAGGGAGTTTTGAGTGAAAGACTTGTCCAAACGAAAGGTAAAGGAGCAAGTGGTTCGTTTAAGCTCTCTCAAGCAGTGAAGAAAGAAGAAGAAAAAGCCAAGAAATTGAAACTCAAAGCAGAGAAAATGAAGTTGAAACAGAAGAAGTCCAACGAAGGAAAGGAGAATGAAGACCCCAGTAGTAGCGATGCGGAGAAAGTTTCCAAGCCTAAAAAAGCAAAGAAAACCGTACCAAAGGCAGACAGTGGTAAGAGCGAGAAAAACAAGAAAGCGAAGTCATCGAAGGAGGGAAGTAAAAAAACTGATTCCAAAAAGTCAACGAAAGCAAAGACAACCAAATCCAAGAAAGAATCGAGTAAAGAAACTTCTAAAAGTCCTAAGAAAACGACCAAGAAGTCCATAAAGAAAGTCGGTTCTAGTGCTGAAAAGGCAAAGAAAACTGTGAAAAAGACGGCAAGTGGAAAAACTGTAAAAACTCCAAAGAGCAAACCTAAAAAAACTGCCGAACCAAAACCCGCCAAGACAAAGAAAACTACCACCAAGAAGAGCCAGAAAAGCTCTTAGTAAAACCTCGAGTTTGTTCATAGTACTTACTTGTACATAAAACTTTATTTTTTATTCAACACAAAGCAATAATCTTGTTTTTAGGGTTTGAGTGAATCGAAAATGCCTGTTCTAATTTAACTCTGAGCTGGCAAAGTGCGAGACGATTAAACGATGTAAATATATGAATACAGAGATACAGCCCAGAGGTTTTTAATATTCTTACATTGAATTTCTCACTAATACTAGTGCTTACTAAGATAGAGATATCTACTTTATATAGTTAGCTGCATAGCCTCTTAATTTTCATTATTTTTTCTCTTCAAATTACCTGTATTCTGACTGCATTGAAGGCACACCTGTAAATATTTTCGCGATTCTCTTCTCTTTAATTTTCAATTAAAGAACTTGCAAACTATTCTAGTGTTATTGAATGACTTCATTTCGTTTTCTGCGTAATTATGAGCTTGAATGATTTTCTAAATTTTCAATGCGGCGGGTTCCAAACTTGCACCAGAAAGCCCATTCGCCATTTTCCATACATCGGTTCACTGGCTAAACACAATGCATTCAGTCGAGGCTGCAAGGTTAAAATTTGAATAATCCTTTGAAAGTACGTTGGCGCCTCGCTTGAGCGATTTTTGTTTGACCATTGAACCAATGAATGGAAAATGGCGAATGACATAGACTGCTTCGAACTACGAGAACCAAAAACGTATACAAATTTTGTATGTCTGATAAATAATGTCGATGATAAATAGTCGATAGTGTAGACCCCATTGATAGGCTAGCATGCATTAAAGGATTTTGTAAACCATTTTAAAAATGCGGAGCGCTCCACATCGACCACACCCTTGAGACAATGTTCATTTGGTTAGCATTAACATCGGCCGTCCTTTTGAACCCAGAACCAGGCCGTTTTCACCCTCGTGAGGAATCTAGTCACCAGTCTCTTCCGAGTGTCAGAAAAAAATGGCTTCTCGAATGTTAGGTTTTGCACGTAGAGCATTATTCTCTCAAAATAAAGTGCTTCTCGCTCGAATAACGACCCAAAACTCAACATTTAAGGTATTTGCATTTAAATTATCAATCAATTGCTATTAACAAAGTTGAATTGATGGTTGGTTTGTTTATTTGTAGAATTTGCGATGCATTTCTACTACACAACGTCTGACAACGGTAAGATTGCCCAAAAGAAATTTTATTTTTCTCATTCTTTGTTGATATTTTTTGCCATTTGAATAAATTTTGCAGAATAAAAACGCATATGCACACAATGCRCTATAAGTTAAATCTACAAATAGCTAATATATACCACTAGTTTGAAGATATTTAATTATATTTTCTATTTTATAATCTAAATTTCTATATACATTTATACATATATTTATTGTAAACGCATAGAGTTTTTTATATGCGTATAAAAACATTCTTTATTATTATCATCATTATTATTTTTGACTCTAAGATCAGATTTTATTTGTGTGTTTTTTTTTTGTTTTTTTATCTAATGTCATATTTTTTTGTTATCATGTGTTTTTGGGCTGAAGTTAATATACCCAGTACCCCATTTTACAGTTCCATTCAGTGACCACAAATAACAGTTCCAAGTCAGGGTGGCTGGGGGAGTTGCTGCGCATGATAAACTGTAGTTGTTGGGGTGCTATAGGTGCGGAAACTACAGCCCTTACTTGGAGCTATTGTTTGTGGTTACTGAACTGAACTGTAAAATGGAGTATTATTAAAAGAGGTCCAATAATATCCCCCAAGGTGAGGTGCGCACACACACATAATATTGCATACTCTTCTCAGACCTTCTAAACTTCTTGAAAATCACAACTATCCTAGAACATTCATTTCATTTTGTTGATTTCTGTTGTTTTTAAGGATTCAAGTGACAAGTTATGGAGTTTGGGAAGACTCAACCATGTTGCCATTGCTGTTCCAGATTTAGGTAAAGTACCACTAGCATAAGGAGGGGGAAATGAGGGGCAGGTGCCCCCTCCCCCCCCCCCCCATACACCTCCCATTCAAAAAAGAGTTTGCTTGCAGGATTTTAAAAGATTGAATAGGAAAATAAAAAATATATAGCAAGTGTCAGAAAATTTATATTTTTAATAATTGCTTTTACAATTCTTCAACCAACAGACAAGGCATCAAATCTTTACAAAAATGTGTTTGGTGCTAAAGTTAGTGACTCTCAGGTAAATTCACAGTATTTCATTACTAAAGTCTAAGTTTGTGTAGTATACTGTGTGATATGCCACATGTCAGTTGTATATTTTTAGCACACACACATCACAAGCCATATGGAAAGTGTATAGATATGATAGCTAAGTGTATGGCTAGAGTGCATTCAGTCAAACTTTTGAATAGTTAGATAAATGTATCTAACTTAGATAACTATTCAGTTGACATCACCTAAGATAGTAAAAGCGCACGAAACAACGGTCATGCTAATCCGGGGTGGTGTTTTACCAGAGAATGAGTGAATAGACATTCATTTGTATCATTGTTTCTCCCCCTGATCTCAGTAGCTGTTTACTCGTAGTTCCAAATTTATGTGAGGTCAGGTAAAATAGTAACTAACTTATCTAATTTAGGTGACGTACACTATTCAACAGTTTGACTGAATGCACTCTATTAACAAAGTCTTCATAGTGGATGTATTTAACTTCTTTTTTTCAGGCTTTGCCAGAACATGGTGTCTACACTGTTTTTGTTGATCTTGGTAACACAAAAATTGAGGTAAACACCAAATTTTCACTTTACTTTTGATTTCACTCCTATATTTAAAAAAAATATGTCGTTAGTCATGCAAATGCAAATTCGGTAACATCCTAATGCAAATTCAAAATTAATCAAAATATGGGTACTTTTTTCTTTTTCCAAAGCTTTTGCACCCACTTGGTGAAAAGAGTCCCATTTCTGGTTTTCTCAAAAACAAGCCTGATGGAGGAATACATCACATTTGTATCGAGGTATGACACAAAATATATTACTGGCTTTCAAGGTAATTATAACAACCCCCTCTCAAACTTGAAATTCACTATATATCAAACTGATATAACTAGCTAAAAACTAGTGTGAGCTGCGTCGGTGTTTCTAATGAAACAGTAA